TTCTGAGCCCCTCCTCCCTGTTCAACCCCTCTATAGGTAGTAATTCTCCTCACTTTTGTGCCCAATGGCAGTAGTAAATGGCCTTCTCTTCCTCCTCTCTCAGCACTTGTACATGATTCCTATGTTGGCAACTCATCTCTTGTCTTCAATCCCATAATGCTGCTTGTCTCTTCAAATTCTCTTTCTGCATATCTTCTTTCTTCCTCACATATCCTCCCTGTTCAACCCCTCTATAGGTAGTAATTCTCCTCACTTTTGTGCCCAATGGCAGTAGTAAATGGCCTTCTCTTCCTCCTCTCTCAGCACTTGTACATGATTCCTATGTTGGCAACTCATCTCTTGTCTTCAATCCCATAATGCTGCTTGTCTCTTCAAATTCTCTTTCTGCATATCTTCTTTCTTCCTCACATATCAAAACGCCAACACTTTTCTCCTGCTGACCACTCCATCTTCCTAGTCGCTCAAGCCCACAGACCTGAGGGTCATCCTTGTCTTCTCTTCTCTCCTCCTGCCATTAGATATCCACCAAATTCTGGCGAGTCTCCCTCTGCATTTCCAAAATCTGCTTCTTCCTCCTTATTCTCAATGTCAAAACTTTTTGTCTATGCCCTATTATCTCTTGCTTGATGACCACTACTTCCTTGGCCTTCTTACCCAAACACAAACATTTCTCAATTGATTTCACAGCTAATTCTACATCAAGTAGAAATGCCTTGTCCTTGCTATCATCTTTCTGCCCTAATTACACACTCATTACTGAGGTACCCAATTGCTACTTCTTGGCTGTGTCTAGACTGGCAAGTTTTTCCGCAAAAGCAACTGCTTTTGCGGAAAAGCTTGCCAGCTGTCTACACTGGCCGCTTGAATTTCTGCAACACTGACAATCTCATGTAAGAAATCAGTGCTTCTTGCGGAAATACTATGCTGCTCCCATTCCGACAAAAGTCCTGCGCAAAAGCTTTTGCCCAAAGGGGCCAGTGTAGACAGCTCAGATTTGTTTTCCACAAAAAAGCCCCGATCGCAAAAATGGCGACTGGGGCTTTTTTGCGCAAAAGCGCGTCTAGATTGGCCACGGACGCTTTTCCTCAAAAAGTGCTTTTGCAGAAAAGCGTCCGTGCCAATCTAGAG